CCCCCCGCCCATCCATCCACCCATTCAGCCATTCACCTACGCTGTGCTCTTCTTACATCGAGACAATCCAATCCAGCCGGAGCACACACATACTTCGCCACCCCACCACTCACCCCAACCCACCGACCCACCACCCCAACCCAGGTATAGAAAAGTCAGTCAGACACACAGCCGGACAGCCAGACGGTCCACCAACGCACCCCTCCCCTCCCGGCCCTCCCCTCCCTCCTACGCATTGCGCGCCTGAGGAGAGAAGAAGGTCAGCAGTGAGCCGAGGGGGCCGTGTCCACCGTGGGGCGGCCCCGCCGCACCACCCGCAGCAGCAAACGCAGCGTGTTGCTGCTGCTGGTGTGGGGTGGGGTGCGGAACGGGCTGCACCATCCCGGCCATCCCCACCCCCACCGTCACCCCCGCAATGCCACCCGGCCCGCCGTGCTGCTGCGGCTGCTGGGGGATGCTCTGCGTGGGTGTGGGTGCCACCATCGCCGGTGGCCCGTCCGTACCCGCACTGGGGAAGTAGGCAGGCTTGCTCTGCGGGACGACGGTAGCGTTGGTGGCGGGTGCGGGTGGTGTGGGTGTGTATGCGAGTGGGCCCGACCCGAGCCGGCCCCATAGTGCGGATGGGAGACCGGGACGCATGGGCGGCGAGTAGGGCTGTGTGTGAGCGGTGGGTAGCTGCGGCGAGTAGGGCATCATGACGCTGGGCGGGAGGGCGGTGGTCTTGTCATGCGCCGTGATGCTGGGGATCATGTGTGGCGCCAGAGCCAGATACGCATTGGCGGCACTGGCGTCGCTGTGCTCCACCCCCATCATGGCATGGTCACTATCGCTCGCTGCTGCCGGCCCACCCCCGCCCCCTCCCTGCCCCCCTCCCCCACTGCTGCCGTCATTGGCCTGGCTGGGAGGGTGCGAGCCGTCGCCGCCCTCCATGGAGGCGTCGGGGTTGCCGTCGGTCTGCCCGCCGCCACCATTGCCGCCCCCACCGCCACTGCCACTGCCGGGATTGTTGTTGCCGCCCGGCGCGGGGGCATCCGAACCTTCAATGGGCACATCTGGGGAGTGAGTGGGGTGGGGTGCACAGGCGAAATGGTCATGTGGTGTGGATGAGGACCTGTGCGGTGCGGTCTGTTTCTGTTTGTGTGTGCGTACCTCCGGGATTTTCTTCGATGGATAGCGAGATGGCACTGCGACCAACCTGCACCGACACGGGCGCTGCAACCACACACACAGACAGTCAGACGTATTCAAGAAAACATGGAGTTCCTCTCTGTATGTGTGTGTGTGTGTCCGTGTCCGTGTGTGTGTGTGTATGGTCGCTTACAGTCTACGTCTACGACGTGTGACTTCCGAATGGCCACGAGCGTCCCAAACTTGGAATTGTGATCCTCCAACACAAAATTGTCTGACACACATCATCCACCAGTCATCACATCAACCAACAGACACACACACACACGTCAAGCTTGACGCCCATCGCCATGTGGGAATGTGCTGTGCGGTGGTGTCCAGTAAGTATACCGTTGACGAATCGGATGGTGGCGTGATATCGTGATATCGACACATCGGCTATGCGCACGTCGGACTCGTGCCCGCGACCCTACACAGCACAACCACAACACAACACGGTGTGTGTGAGTGTGGGTGTGTGTAGGGAAGGAAGATACCAGTTTGAGTATCTTCTTCTCCGCCATGCTGATCACGTGCAGCCCCCGATTCTGCTGCTGCTATCACCAACACACACAGACGCATACACACTGATGAGTGAGTGCTTGGTTTCTCTGTCTCTCTGTGCGCGTGTGATGTGCGTATGGGTGTTACATATCCGTGCCTGCGAGGGGCTGACGAGGTTCTCCAGTACGATGAACGGCGGCTGAGTGTTAGGCACCTGGACTATCTGCAACTTCTCTGTGGGCCATCGGTGGGGGTGGAGGGTGGGAGATGACAGACACGCATCGCATGGCACACAGGAGTGGATGTATGTTATGTGTGCGGTGGTTGTGTGTGGTGTGTGGTTGTCTTGTCTTGTCTGTGGCTGTGTGTGTCTGTGTAGGTTACCTACCTCCATTGGCCATGCCGGCGGGTGGGAATGCGGTTTTGCAGAGCTCGCACTGCTGCTGCTTGTAGAAGAACGTGCTGCCGCTGTTGTCAGACTGCTGCACCAACACGACACATACACGGAGGGAGGGAGGGAGGGAGGGATGGATGGGACGGATTAACACACAACACAACAAAACACAACACAACGCAAGGCAACGTGTCGCGTCCATCCATTATGGATGTGTGTGGCAGTCAGTGCCATGTGTGTGCATGTCATGTGGTGACTGACGCCGTTGTTCTGCAGCCGTCCTTTGATCCAGTGGCGCAGGCAGTTGATGTGCACAAACTTAATCGAACCTGACAGACACGAACAGGCAGGCAGGCACCTTGCTTGCCGTGCGTGCGATGCTTGCTATGGATGCTATGCTGTGGGTACCCACCCTTGCATTCGCACGGTGCGACGAGTGGGTCGTCCTCATTGGGCCCCTCCAACAAACAGATACGGCACTGCATCTGCTTCAAGTCGTCACTATACCACGACACCGACACACACAGAGGGAGGGAGGGAGGTGACACGACACAAACACGACAGAGACATTGCACCGAAGGTGGGTGGTGAGACGGCAGGCAGGCAGGCAGGTGCCCAAGCTGAGTTGGGCTCACTCACTCACTCACCCGGGCGCGCCTCCCACATCTGGCACATCGCTATCGTCCAACCGCAACTCCTGCACACAACACACACACACACACACGTGGTCGCCTTAACCTGTGTGGAAGTCTGGTGTGGTCCCTTGCGTACTCTGCTCACCGGCTGCACGTCTCCGCTCTTGACGCACTGCCGCACGCGTAGTTTGAATCGTCCCAGTTTGATGACGTCGTTCTCCTGGATGATGTGGCCCGTCGGCTGCAGGTCCTTGACAATCAGCCACAGCTTCTTCGGGTTCGTGCTCTGCGATCCCGAACGCTCAGCCGGAACCACCTGAAACTTGCCTGCAGCCAGCCAGCCACACGACACACACACAACGCAACATGCCAGGTGGCGGTGCGGAGGGACGTGCCTTCGTATGCAGATGCGCGCGCGCGCGCGCGTGTGTGTGTACCATTTTTGTCGGAAACGAATCTGACTAGGTAGTCAGCATTTGTGGGGTTGGCGACGCCCTCTGGGATGAGCTGGATGTCGGTGCCGCTACGGAAGGCCTTCATGGGCCGCTGGATGTAGAAGGTCTTGGTGTTGACGTGCCGCGCCTCATAGTCAAACAGGTCGTGGCTATCACGCGCCCAGGTCGTCGTCGTCACCTTCAAACTGAATGACACACACACATCCATCCACCACGGACCGGACAGAGATTTAAAGCGGCAAGGAACGAACACACATCACATTGCCCCCCACCGACACCCTCGCGGCTCTTTTCGCCCCTCTGTGGCTCACGTGGGCATCTCTCGCTGCTGCTGTTGCTGCTGTTGCTGCTGCTGCGGCATTTAGAAACAAACAACGTCCGTCACTTCCAAACGAGCCGGTGTGCCGAGAGGGCGACACACTCAGGGAGGGATGGACCTCACAGCACACCACAGCACAACACACACGAGGGTCGACGGGGTCTCGCACTCTCGTCCGTCGTCCGTCAGGCCGTGCTGCCGTCGGCAGTGTGGTAGTTTGTCAGAGAGAGGGTGAGGTAGAAGGTGAGATAATCAGGCAGGTGTTTGGAGGTGAGGACCTCCGTGACGCTCACCACATCGCACCGCCCTCCTCAAAGTTTCACAAGGTGCGAGTTCAAGACCGTCGAGTGGATCGCTGTCGAGGATTCGAGAAGGGGTTTAGATTCTTCCTTAAAAGAACCACGTTCCTGTTGTCGCCTTTGCAAATGCCTCCTTCGGTTGAGAGACCGCAACGCCCACGACAGGACCGAAGAAGTTGATGCAGCTGTGCAAGGAGGGGCGGTGGCGGCTGTCCTGGTGGTAGTAAGGCCTCTCGAGGCTTATCGACGTCTCAACTGCACTTCTGAGCGAGGAGGGTGATATCGCTCGTCTGTCCGTCGGTCAAAGCAGGAGTGAAGCGAAGCAATTCGAAGCGCAGAGTGTTGAGTGCGTCTGAGAAGTGGCTGTCTGTCTCTCTACTGACTGTCTGAGTTAGCTGGGACACACTGACTGACTGGTGGTGCGGAAGGAAGAGGCAGTGAATGAGATTAAACCAGCAGTCAGAGTCAGATGGCACATCACATTCGTATGTGCACAGCAGACAGACAGACACACATGAATCAACCATTCATTTAACATCCCCACAGCACAGCCAAAGCCAGACCACCTCCACCCAAGCCACACGCACCACACGCAACGCATCGCATCAATCAATCGTCACAACGCCCGCCACGTATGTGAGCTGCCTTCTAGGACGCACAATGGCTGGCTGGCTGGCTGATCCGCATCGAGGCACGTTTGCATCACCGACAGTGTCAAGACACCATTATGCAAGGCAAGGCACGTGTCTGTCTGGTTAGCTAGGGCGGCACTTGGGGGTCGGCAGGAGGGGAGGGTTGGAAAAAATCAGCCAGAGGGTACAACGCATGGCACGACGACTGCACACAGACACACACACACACACACACACGAACGATGACAGCGACGTCGCCATAGACAGGCAGGTACACAACACACTTTTCTCATCATCACCTTGAACGTGTCGGCGTATGATTGCAGCTGGGGCTCTGCCTGCAGGAACTCAAGCATCTTGATGCAGTCCTGTACAGCACAGCACAGCACAGCACACACACATCCATCCATCCACAACAGACAGCACAGCGTCAGGTCAGGGATGCATGTGCCGGCACGGTAGGTGCGGAGGGTAATTAAGGCGCTACAATGTTTGCTTACCCTGAGTGTGCCATCCCTTGGACTGAGTGTCTCCAGGATCCCCTTGCACAGCGCACTGTCACCCGACAGACGCGCACCGCCATTCCTCAACACACACAAACCTAAGAGAGCACAGAACACACACATACTCTCGATATATCCGATCCACACACAACCAACCAATTGCACACCGCTTTCTGTCTCCCTGCCTACCGGCTCTCTTCATCTTGATCGACGGCGCCGCCCCCAGCTTCTCGGCTGCAGCCGTGGCGAACCTAGCCCCCGCATCCCTCAGCTGATCCACAGACATACCGCCCCCATCGCTGGCTGCTGACGGGGCGGGGAGGAATGGCGGCGGTAGGAGGGGCGCCAGCTCGCTGACCAGCACGGACCGGACCTCATCTGAGAGGCCGGGAGGGGGGGAGGGGGCGGGAGAGGGAGGAGGGGCGTCGGTGTTTGTCTGGTCGGCATTCACGCACACTACAGATGGATGGGGACAGACAGCAGGGATGCATATGGCCAGTGTGGTGTTATAGGGATGGAGTCAGGTGGGAAGGTGGGTGGCCCAGCTGGCTGACTGACCATTATGTGTGAAGTCAGCGAGGAGTGGGGCCAGCTTGTGGTTGAAGGGGTCGCGCTGACAGAGCTCCCACAACCGACGAAGCGCACGCAGCTGCAGCAAGGGCATGCCTGCACACACCCACACCACACCACACCACATTGCACCACGTCCATGTGGTCGCTGTGCGGGAGTATGTTGTCGCGTTGCTGACGTACGTCTCGTCTTGTGAAGTCTGTAAGCGAGTGCATGTGTCGTTGGGTCGAGGCTGCAGTGCTCCTGCAGTGTGGCGGCGATCTTGGTGGCCTCCTCTATGGGATCCTTCTCAATCAGCTTGGCGCCGTGGGGGTCGTCGTCGACACGACGCTTGCCTGTAGATGGGGGGGGACACACGACACACAGAGACATGGCCATCCCTTGTGTGTGCGTGGCGCGTGTGTCGGGGCCCCCCCTGCTCACTCACTTTTGACTTGTGTGGTTGTTGCAGTCTTCTCCTCAGCGGCACTGCTCGACGCCTCCGCCTTCTTGGCCTGCATGCCATGGCATGGGCCAATGAATGCATTAACCGAAGAACACCATATATAGGATGAACGGTTTTCCTGTGCCCCTCTGTGTTGTGCTGTCTGCCTGTCTCACCTCTTTCTTGAGTTTGTTCTTGAGTCGTTTCCTCTCTGCCGGCGTGAGTGCCTCCTCCTCGGCCTTGGGGGCCTCGCTCGACTCGCTGGCACCAGGCTTGCCCTGACAGACAGACAGACAGATGCGCGAACAGAGGGCGAACAGAGAGGGATATGAGTCGTATGTGTGTGGGGGGGTGGGTGGAGTCTGTGTGTGTCACCTTCTCTGAGTGGAGGAATAGGTAGAGGTCGATGAGCTGCTTGGCGGCTCGGCGGAAGAACCTGATGGACAGAGAGAGGAGAGAGAGACCCGAACACGCGTGCATCCATTCACTGCCTGCCTCGCTCCAGTAGTTGTCACTCACTTGTGTGAGTAGAGTCTGTCCTCCATTCTGAGGAAGGACAGGTAGGTGCGGTTGCTCATCTTCCGCTGACAGTATCCGTGGAAATCAAACTGATATATGTCACAAACACACACACACACAGACACACACATACACCACAACACATTGCATTCATTATGTGTGGCGGGGTCGGGGGGCATGTGTGTGTGTCTTGTGCCGTGCCATGCCTGGTCCTCTCTGAAGTCGTTGAGGTGGTTGACGATTCGGTGGAAGTTCTTGAGCGCCCGCGCATAGTCATGCACACGGCGATACGCACGACCGATTTCATACTCAAACCTGACAGCACAGCAGTCACATAATATCTCAGACTGACTGTCTCTATCTCTGTGTGCCTCTCCTACCACATGCACTGCATGTCGAAAAGGTTTGGCGTGGCGTCGCTGTCCTGCTCCTTCGAAAACAACAGAGCCGTCGACAGCGCCTTGACACACACAGAGAGAGAGCCACACACATTCCCATGAGTAGGCTGCCTACCGCACGTCAGTCTGTTTGTGTGTGTTGTCGCCGGCCGGACTGACCTGTTGTGTCTTGTTGATTCTGAGGAGGTATTTGACGCTCTTGGTGTTGAGGAACCGATCGGCCAAGTCCAGCTGGCGAGCCTGCACGAGCACGGTAGGGAGGTCCCGCCTTCGACATGCCATGTCTCTTGTGTCTGCCTACCTCTTCCGCGAGCTCAGATGCCCTCTCGAAGGCGCCTGCGTGTTTGCAGATTCGCGCCTGCACCGACAAACACAGATGCGCACATGTGCGCGACCACGTGTGCTGTGTGTGTGTAGCTAGCTACCTACCTACCTTGATGGAGTACAGGTCGACGAGCGTGGGTGTGTGTTGGATGGCCTTGTCGATCCACTCGAGGGCCTCAGACGTCCTCCCCATGTAGTCGGCGTGCTGGGCCAGAATCGTCAAAGTGAACAGATACGACAAGGGAAGCTCTGCACACAACACGCCCAACACACACGAGTAAATCACGGAACAGACTTTGTTTCACTCACTTCACCTGCTCTTATTTTGCCTTTCTTGCGTGCCTTGCCCACCTTCTTTCGGTGTGGCGTTGTTTGCGTCACCGGCATCGGTCGGCAATCCTGCTGGCGGTCCGAAAGTGGAGGGTGTGGCCTCGAGGCTGCGCAGGTATCCCGTGAGCAGCTGCTCGACGAAGGCCCCCTTCTCTGGCGTGTAGAAGCACTTGAGCAGGTTGAACAGAGACGGGATGCCCTTGCGGATGCGGGGACGCAGATACTCATCCAGCCTGACAGACACGGAGGGAAACAAACCGGAGTGTGTAAGCTTAGTAGATGCGATGGATTGGGGATTTTGCAGGTAGGTAGGACCTTTTGGCGAATCTGTCTCCCTCTGTGAAGTAGAGCGGCAGCCTCCGGACGACATCGCTCTTGGGGTACTGTTGCCTCAGCGCGTCATAGAAGCCGCACACCCTCTCCTGCTGCTCGTCCGTCAGCCGACCCACACACTCAAACCGCCGACCCGACACGGCCTTCCTCCTCTTCCAGTGGGGCCGGTGGTGGATGTCGTCCGTCCCATCCAGCCCCTCCCCACCATCACCCCTCCTGCCTGGCCCACCCTCCAGCAGCTCGCTGGGCGCCTCCAGCCACCCACACAAAGGCTTGCCCAACGGATGGATCGTCTTGGAGAACAGACGTATCCGCCCGACAGAGAAGGGTGTGGGCGCAGAGTGCCCGGAGGTCTCGCTGCCCTGCCCGGACGCGTCTCGTTGTGAGTCGCTGTCTGGGGCGGGTGCATCGGTGGACGGGGTGGGGGGCGGCACCATCGACTGTGGGGATGCTGCTGGGGGTGCTGTTGGCAGGCAGTATGAGAGGTTGTCGCACTCCTTGGCTGCTAGGGCGGGGGGTGGCTGCTCACATTGGGGGCCGTTGGGTAAAGCCTCACGCACCTTCTTCTTGGCCCTGCCTTTCTTCTGCTCACACAGCACACACAAAGAGGCGGAATCCACGCCATACTTGGGCGCCAGGTCAGGTGTGAGTCGTGGGTACCTTGCTGTCTGGCGGTTGGACGGGGTCGCCTGGCGGGGGGGGCGGAGGGGAGATGTCGTGCAGCTGCACCGTGGCGGCCTGGAGGCCCAGGGCATAGTCTTCATGCTCGGGGCAGGCCTTGAACAAATGACTGAGCCGACAGTGACAGGCAGTTGTGTTGTTCAGGCAGATTATTTATGATCGGTCGGGTGTGTGTGTGTGTTGCGGACGGACGTGTATGCGGCATGAGCGTCGTCGAAGTTCCTGAGGTAGAGGGACAGCCGGCCAACCGTCTCGTAGTAACCCACTTTGTCAGGACACCTCCTGGGTCAACACAACACATACACATACACAGACACAGACACATACACAGACACAGACACAGACACAGACACACAGAAAGCCCTCCCTCCCTCCCTCTAATACCCTTCTCTGAGTTGTTCTGTGAGGTAGTCGATGGCCTCCTCATACCGGCCGCTCTCCTCCAGCACCATCGCCTTGTACATGCTCACCTGACAAGAACAGCATACGACAACCAGATCAGGCCAGGCACACAGGCGTCTACCCCGTGGCCCACCCATCCATCCCCTCTACCTCTCCTGCATCGTATGCGTCGATGGACTCGCTGTCGTCTTTGAAGGTCTTCTCGTGTTCCTCCAACACACCCACTGCCGCGTCAAGCGACCCGCACTGACAGACAGATACACACACAGGCAGCCAGCCAGCCAGCCAGGCGGGCGACTGTGTGGGCTCGGTAACAAACACAGAACGACTAGGCGTTGACTGACTATCGACACGTACCAGGTGGTGTGCGAGAGCGAATGTGGTCCAGTTGAAGCGGAGGGCGGGCTTCAGGCTCAGCAGTTTACGACGGGTCTCGCGAAACCCCTCCTGCAGATCAGATAGACACGCAAGCACGTCAGTCACTTCTCTCCGTCTGTCTGTGTGGCTGACCGACCAGTTGTCTGATGTGTATTTGGAGGTTGGAGAGGTCTCTCATGATGGTGAAGTTCTCAGGCTCGATGCGGAGGGCCTGACGGTAGCACTTGGCAGCCTCCTGGTAGTCCCTGCGACACACACACACCCACACACACACAACACATCAGCCACAGCCGACGGACGGCATGCATCAATCTGTGTGACGCCCAGTGCGGAGTGGTGTGTCCGCCGCTTACTTGTCCTGTCTGTAGAGGATGCCCAGCGCATGCCAGCACACCTGACTCTTGACGTCGCAACGCAGTCCCTTAACACACACGCAATGAGGAACAGCAGCCTCCGGTCAGCACCTTGGCATCTCATCTGCTCGTCTGTCCATCCACCTTTTTGCATAGTTCGTATGCCTGGTCCTTCTTGTCCATGTTGCTCATGGCGAGACCCTTCATCGACAGGGTCTCTGTCACATAGTCACACCCTGGATGCTGCTTGCAATGCGTGTGAGTGTGGGAGAGTGTGTGCTGACCTCCGTGCTCGGGGTACTTCTTGAGGATCTGGTCGGCCAGCTTGACCACCTTCTTGTGCTGCTTCGCCTCGTACAAGCGCTGCAGACACAGAACAGCAACAGCACACACACAGGGAGAGGGAGGCCAGTGAGTGGACAACAACTAGTGATTGCCACATGCATGGCATGCAGAGACACTCAGGATCAGAAACCAAGAGACGCAGCCACCGAGGACCCGCCAAGGCAGCTTACAGCATGCACCACGAGGTCTCGCTGCGTTGACTGCCAACCGATCTTTCCTCCCTGGCTGCCTGGCCTGGCTGGTGTAGCTGTCTGTCATGTGCACAGTGCTGACCATGATGCTCTTGAAGTGCGCCCCCTCCTTGGCGGGCAGCGGCTGGCTGCTCTTCTGACTCATCCTTACAACACGCACTCAAACACCCAACGTCACCCACAGATCTTCTCAAAACAGACACCAGAATTCGCCGCACGACGGCATAGGCAGCTCACCACAGTTCCACTACTTGGTTCTGTACACGCTTAGCTCGCAGACTTCCTTTAGCTCGCAAATTTCCTTCTTCCTCTTCACGATTCGGCCCCGCCATGGTGTGACGACAGTCTCCAGCTGCTGGTCTCTGGATTTCTGCCTTGTTGCTTGCTTTTTTCGGCAGCAACGTCGGGAGACGGATTGGGTGACGGTGCTTGTGCTCGCCGGCGGAAAACCTCCTCGTTTTGAGAAGCTGGCTGACGGGCAGCAGGCGGCGAGTGAGTCGGCAGGCAGAAGTTTGTGATCGGGAGCCACCAAGACAACACAACGGATTCCACCCTCGTGTGGTGCTGAGTTTTCTAGAGCACCAGAGGGATGTGGAACGAGCTTCGGCAGAGGGACCAGATTGAGGTCTGGGCGATGGCATCACGATGGCAAGCCGAAATAGGTGCGGAGCAAGAGACCCGATCTGTCAGTCAGTGAGACAGGTGGTGACCGAGCGTGGCTGTGTGCGTGTGTCTGGCTGTTATGGCAGATCGTGTGCGTGACTACGAGAGGAGCGGTCTGGATGGCGAGGCGCGTGAGCGGCTGCGGCGTGTGCAGAGGGAGGTGCTGATCAACGTGAGCCTGCCCGACGCCATCAGCTGCCAGACCGTCGAGGACGGGGCGGTGGTTCGTGTGGACATAGAGGAGACGGCCCACTCCAGCCCGTGCCACTTCCTCACGTCCGTGTGCCCCAACCTGGCCGTCTGCTGTGCCGAGCCCCTGCCCCGGCCGACCACCACCATGTGGCGCGACAACGAGCTGACGGCCCTGCTGGACCAGGTGTACACCCAGCTGCAGACCCACCCGCTGCTCACCACCACTCCCATGCCGTCCAAGAGCGACAAGGAGTACGAGCAGATGGTCAACCGCATGCTCTGCATCTCGCCGCAGAAACCCAACCGCATCCTCACCCCGCCGTCGCTCGACGCCACGCCGACTGAGCTGCCGTCCACCGCCACTCATGAGGTCATGATGACTGACCGGAGCGAGGTGCGGCATCATGATGATGTCGAGAGCGAGGTGCGGCATCATGACGATGTCGAGAGCAGCGAGGCGGATGACGATGACGAGGAGGCAGAGGACGAGAAGGAGGTGGACGAGGGGGGCGCGTACGACGGCCAGAGCCGACCCGAGACTCCCCCGGAGATCACGCCACACAATGTCACACCGACCAATAAGGCAGATGCCAAGAAGGTGAGGACATCAGGGAAGGACGTGTATGTGAGCTGGCACTCAAAGGTGTATGGCGTGGATGGTGTGTCTGTCTGTCTGTCCCTTGTAGGCCGAGTTGGATCGGTTGTTGGGTGAGTGGGAGCGTCTGTACGAGAGCGAGAAGGTCACCATGGCCCACGACGCCTGGACCAAGGTCGTCACCGCCACGCAGGACTACCTCACCATCATCGGACACATCGACAGCCCCGAGGGCGACAAAACACGTGAGCGACGCGACGCAGCGAGAGAGATGTCGGCCAGGCAATCCACCGTGTGTCCTCTGCATGAATACGTGGCTGCAGCCCCATCCCCAATGGACGTGAGGGTTCTGCTGGAGCGTGCGGCCATCGACGTCAATGGCCACCCGCTGCTGCAGGACGACGCCCTTCGCCGGTTTGAGATGGCCATGAAGGAGATCCAGGCCACAGACGCCATCCTCGACACCGCCGACTCACACACAATGGGCGGCGGAAGCTCGCGATACGACCTCCGGTAGGACAGGGAGGGAGAGACAGAAATCGACAAGACAAGCAGGGGTGTGTGTGCACGAGTGTGTGCGTCTTTGTGTGGTCGTCCGTGCAGGTGGCATGTCGACAAGGACAATGTGGTGGTCATGTCAGCCGAGGGCGTCATCGACGTGCCTCTGTTCCACCTGCTGTGCCTGCTCTACGAGACGGATTACTACTGTCGTTTCTTCCCCTTCGTCAGCAAGGTCGAGACCATCATGGAAATCGACAGGATGAACCGAGTCATGAGACACGAGTACGGAAAGCATGAACGAGGAGCGAGAAATGCACAGCGCACCTGTCGATCTGTATCTGTCTGTGGATGTCTCTCCAGGTTCTCCTTCCCGTGGCCGCTGAACAAGCGCGAGAGCATCAACTATGGGTTTGGCACGGATGCGCTGGACGACCCGAGGTACGAGGCGGTGGTGGTGTGTTCGTGGAGCATCACACACGACGACCGGCACGGCCTGGGCATCGCGGTGCCGGACATCAGCCCCCACCGTGTGCCCATGAAGATCGACCACTTCACATGGCGCCTCCAGCCGATCACCCAACACAAGACCAGGCTGCAATTCGTTTTCAAGGTACCCACATGCCATGCAACCAACCGTATGTATGTGTTGATAGATATGTATACATACCTGTGCACTCAACCGCGTGGATACCGTGTGTTTCCTCCCTGGTTGCTGTGCAGGCGAATCCGCACATAGCTCATCTGCCGGTGTCGGTGCAGGCCTACGCGACGCGTTACATCACCCACAGCGTGTACCGCAACATGACCAAGTGCGCCAGGCGGTTCAAGGGCTCCGTGTGGGAGAAGCGCATGCACGAGCGGCCGGACGTCTACGGCTACATGCAGACCAGACTGGAGGAATACTTCAGCAACAAACGGGGGCAGGGTGAGATGAGGCCAGGGGGGAGCCGGAGGGAGGGGGCGACCACTGAATGAATGAACGAGTGGATGGATGTATGGATGAGTGAGTGACTGTCTCAGTGGGGTGGGGTGGGCAGGGCTGAGTGAGTGGTTGATTTGTCTGTGTGATGTGAGGGAGGGAGGCCCATGGGTGCGTGTCCGTAGTGGTGTGTATCTATGCGTGAGAGTGCGTGTGGGCTGCTGGGTGAGGGCTGTAGGCGTGTGTTCATCCATGCCATGCCCCAGTCGTACCGTGTGTGTGTGTGAGTGTGTGTGTGTGTTTGATAGTGGGTGTGAGTCCCCCGTTTCAACTAACTGGTTTTGCCGTCCTTATTTGCTTTGCCTTTCTGTCCGTGTGCCTTGTGCTCTGTGCGATCCGTCTGTCTGCGATCCGTCTCGTCCGATCGTCGTGTTTGCTTTTTGCCCTTGATTTTGTTTATGCATGTGATATGAGCGTGTGTGGATGTATAGTGTGCGTGAGAGTAAGTGGATGGGTGTGCGTACCGTGCATTGCCGTGCGCCCCTGTCCATGAGGCTGGACAAAAGCAAGGGCGCCTGGCTTGCATGGCACGCACCTGCTGCCTCACGAGTACGAGTACGGGTCCTTTACTCTCTTATCCTTTATTTCTCGTCCGCCTCTGTGCGGCGCGCGCCGTTGATCCGTTCCATGCAGTCCAGCCATGCAGACAGACGTGCTACTTACTCACTTACACACGTTCACCCGATATTTATTTACGTACTGCCTGCTGCCTGCCTTGCTGCCTTCGCTCACGACCAATGTCTCTGTGTGTGTGTTTGCCCTGCCAGCCAAGAAACATGCCACCTGCTGCTCATGTGCCCGCCTGCCTGTCTGTCTCTCCTACTGCCCTATTGCCCGTCTTTTTGCCCACCAGTCCACCCATTGCGCACCGCACCCAGTCAGTCAGTCAGTCAGTCATGTAGCCACCCAGCCAGCACATAGTACACCCATCCATCCATTTACCGATCCATCAGTGAGCCCTCCCGCCTCCTCCCTTTTTTCCATGGATGCAAGTCCTTTGCTGTCCGTTTTGTGCAACAGACATACACACGTTCATGTGCACTCATGTCATATATGTGGCTAATGAATGAAGGAATGCGATGCTGACTTTTTCTACCGTCGTCATTTGGAACTGCGACGCACGTACGGGACGTTTCGCACTGCATGCCATCCATCGTCACTTACAGCGTACACACAAGTGCTTGCATGCATGTCTGCGCGTCTCCCTGCGCCTGTCGATAGAGCAATGAAGAGGTTGTGTTTACTGTTCATGTGTGCGTGTGTCCATGCACATCACATTCATCCCTATACAGGGCCGGTGGCAAGTGGCTGGTGGGTGGCTGTGTGTACCTACCTAACCCATTCTATTCCTTGTGTCTTATCTACCTGAGCACGTCGGGCCCTAAGTCTGTGTGTCTGTAACCCACTGTCTCTCTTTCCTGCTTGATTTCCACTTCCCCCCACAGCCACACCGTTTGTTTACCATACACACATCCACCCATCCATCCATCCATCCACCCGTATATGTCCACACACACACACACACACACCCCACGCCGCCATCACTCGCACAAAGGAAAGAAGCTCGGTGCACTGTGAGAATGCACTAATCATCTCGCAGCCGCCCGGAGCTGGTGGTGAGCGGTCCGTACAATATCTTTTGGTAAGGTACTTTTGTAAGGACTGGCTTGTTGTCCGGCCGTCTGTATGTCATGAACTGATAGAGGGGTCGCAACTATAGAGGGGGGTGGAGGGGGGCGGGAGGGTGCTTGTTTGTCAATAATTAGCTCAATACATTCGGACGGACGGGGGCGAGGGGGTGCCTGGCTCATGAAAACGGTGGGCCGCGACGGGAGTGTGGCGATTCGTGAACGAACAGAGAGGCACACAGGCTGGCTGACGGATGCATCTCTATCATGTTTGACACGTGGTGCGTGTGCATTGTTGCCGTACGTGGTCGATGAATGCAATGATATGGATGGATGGATGGATGGGTAGTCAGCCACAGAGCGAGAGTCAAGCCAGCAAGCACACTGTATGCAGGCATCTCATCTATCTGTCTGTCTATGGCGTGAATATGTGACCGATCGACACGGACTGGCATTGTACGTACACACGTACACAATGAATGAATGATCAAAACAACGCAATCAAACGGCGAAACTTGGACTGACACACAAGCAGAATCAAAGCAGCTGGCTGGCAAAGCGGAATCAAAGCTTGGCATATAAGTCAGTCTGAGTCAGTCACTCACTGCAGCGATGTGTTGGCGTCGCCTCGCGCTTCTCTCATCTCTCATCTCGGTGTGTCTCGCACAGAATGCAACAAGTAGGCCACAAACACAGAAACAGAGCAAGAAAGCCAACACACACTCACACTCAATGTCTCTCTCTCTTGTGTCTCTCTATGTGATGCAGCAATAGAGCCCACCACCTACATCAAGCTGAGCAGTGCATCGGCCGACAGCACGTTTTCGCGTGAGTTTGCTGCAGAGAATGGCATCGTGCCTGGGTCGGGGTATTGGTGTTCGGCTGGCGGCCACAATGACAGCGGCGTCGTGACGTTCACCGGGTTTGTGTCGGGCATGCCCAAGCGTGTGCGGGGCGTGTCCATCCACTGGGCATACGCGCCGGGTGAGGTGGGCATCAAGACGTCGGTCGACGGCCGCGAGTACGAGGCAGCGCTGCCCATGCGCACGGCACCACGGACAGAGGAATCATTCGACCAGGCAAGCAGCCAATCAATGAGACAGACACAAACCGGACAGACAGAGATTGATACATATGTGTGTCTGTGTCTCATCTCTGTCTTCGTCAGGATCTGTTGTTCGACGCACCGAGGCGCGTCAAGGCCATGCAGGTGGTGATGGGTCGGCCCGTCCACGACTTTTACGGCATCAACACACTCCGCCTCATCGGCTATGGCGTCCCCACAGTCACACTCATCAGCGGCATCACATCCATCGGCGAGGAGCAGTGCCTGCAGGTCGAGCACGGCCGCGTCCACACGGCCGGCGCGAGAGTGACGCTGGCTTCGTGTCTCGAGGCGGCCGCCAATGCGGCCTTCCCATCTGGCTATTACTACGTCCAGCCGCCCTGCGCCGATACACCCTTTCGCGCCTTCTGCCACACGCCAACGGCCGCCACCCTCTCCCTCTTCACGGCCGGCCGACGGGCGGGGCACAGCATCTCCGACCTCATCAAGACGCCAGCAGATGCCCACCACAGCTGTGAGCAAGTCGGCATGGCACCCTTAAAGCTGCGAGATGCCAGCCAGCTGAAAGTCGTGTTGCCGTACCTCAAGTCGCTGGGGATCACTGATCTCGTAACCACACACCCCAACCACACACACACACCAAATGCATCGACTGATCCATCTCTGTCTCTCTCTCTCTCTCTCTGTGTGTGTGGGTGTGTGTGTGTGGTGTGCAGTGGCAGTGTGGGTGTGTTCACGAGTGGCGCGCAGGCCCACTTTGACCGACTCGCCTTCACATCAGCGCCGTGTGAGGCGCCGTCCACGACGCTCGTGCCGCCCCTTCCGCCTCAATGCAGCTACTTCAGCATGGCTGCGGCACTCGGCGGCGGCGTGCCGCCGACGTGGCACGTCACAGACGGAGGCGGCGACCGAGACACAATGGCGGTGACGTCCGACTGGCAGTACAAGACGAACGT